TCAATTAAAATCAAATGATGCGTGCGTTTAATTCTTCCCTTCTCTTACCGGGTAATGATAGGGTTTGAGCATAGGCAAGAGGATAAAAAAAAAAACCAACAGACTTTCAACTGCTCTTATCTGTGATGAATCAAAATGCGGTGTCCTAAAAATACATACGGATAACTAAACTTCTTAATTAACGGTTCCTAGCAGTTGGTCTGTTGTCTGTTTGTCCTCTTTTTTTTTTTTTCCTCTTGCTGGCTTAGCTCTGCTTATTCTAATTTGGGGATTTTTCCTTTGCTTCTCTCTGGTTCATTCTCCTTTTGCCTCTTCCCTGCTGCCCCCATCTCCTTGGACGAGGGGCAGCTTTGGGATGGGGGACCAGTCCTCATCCTGCAGAGAGATGCTATGCTACCGCAGGGATATGATTTTCACTAAAAGCAGGAATAAAATCCTCCTGGCTCATCCCAGAACAGATGACTCCAGTCTCCAGAGGTGGCAGATAGCTCTGCCTGGATAAAACAAATATTTCCATTGATCTTTTTTTTTTCCCCTGTGAACTATTTACTAGCTTTAGTAGAGGGTCATCCAGAAAAGCGGAGTTTTGCTCCAGCTTCCCTCATTTCTTTAGCTGATCCCCATCCCCAGGGCTCTTTGAATTACCTGGCCACTGTTCTTGGTGTTTGAGGCTAATTTTTTTTATCCCAGCATCTCCTGGCTTCGAAAGCATTCATCTCCAGCAGGACGAGCAGGCAGAGCGAGTGTTGGGAGGAGGATGCCCAGCGGGCCCGCAGGTTTTTCATGTCTTGCTGAGTTTTTGCATGTTGTCGCAGCTTCTTGAACATCCACTGCTCTGCGGGGGGGGCGGGGGGAGAGGCGCGTTTCCGAGCCGCCTCTCGACGCTTGTGTCTATTAAAGCCATTTTTCCTTGGTCCCTGTAAATTGCCCGTGAAAAACACGTCTTGAGTAATCTCCGCATCTCGGACATTTTCTGCATGAAATATTCAAGAGCTTGATACTCTTCGCTTTGATGGCTGGTGAGTTATTACCAGCGCCGGGCTTGGACTTCTTATAGGCATGCGGTGATGGGAACAATTAGCACCCAATTAGGCACCTTGCATCTGTTCTGGGGATTTTTCTGCTTAAAAAATTGCAACGCACCAACAAGCGAAAAAAAAAAAAAAAAAAACCCGAATCAAAAATCCTCTGCTGTCTAGGTAACTTTTAATGTCAGAGCAAGGGTGTCTTGCTGGCGCTGGCAAACTGCTTCTGAATTCCTGCACGATAACAAGGCTAGGAGACGAGTTAGCAGCCAGGAGCCGACGGAGTGGTCCCTGCAGCGATGCGCAAGGTCCCCTAAACGGGGGATATATGCACCAGGGGTATGTGCAGGGACCCGCGTCCCTGGGAGGTGTCTGGAGTTGGGCAGGGAGAAAGAGAAGTATTAAAGCCCCCAGATCCCTGGAGCTGCCCCCCCTTGGCATCGTCCTGGTCTTTTCACCCAGAAATCAAACGTATTTTCTAGTTGTGTCAAAGAGAAACAGCTTGGAAACCCCTAACTTTGAAATCCAGCACTTGGAGCCGATTTGGAATATGATATATGTGCGTGTATATATATAATTAATCTTCGTTAATCCCTTTTTCACTCCTTTTTTTTTTTTTTTTTTTTTTTTTTTTCTTTGGGGCCTT